GTACAATGTGAATACCTTTTCTTTCTTTCTGCTCTTGCTTCTGGTCCATCTAACTTTGAATTCAAACCTTGTTTTCTGTGGTGTCAAAGCACACATCCATCACTCTTACTTGCTCTTCTGACACCCTCACCCCTTGCCCCAAGGTACTCTTGCAGAATAAGTTTTAATTACCAACCAGTCCATCTCACAGCTGAACACTGCATAAAGGTCTCTGGGCCAAAGTAGACGTGGACAAAAGCTCCAGCAATTTGCAGACCTCAGCATTTACGGAGTGATTTTTCCCATCCCTATGCCCTGGGCAGTCAGTTGACCATCTCAAAATTCCTTACTATGTACAGCTGAGAATTTCTGAAGTGAGGAAAAGTGATGGAGGGAGTGAGAACTGACTCCTGAAAAGAAAACCTTCCTTATTTTCACCCTTAGAAAAAAAAGGGTATAAATGCATCTCTCCTCCCCCTTCCCCTCCCTGCTGCCCTTATAGCGTGTAGGGGCTGGGGGGGGATTGGAGCATTCCAGCAGCTGCTGGCCAGTATCCTGGAAACTGCCTCCTTTTTCCCAGTCCCAGCCCTTTTTATGAAGGAGACAATGCGGACATACAGTGAGTGCCTTGTGCATCACTTGGGCCCCCAGGCCCTTTGACATGGGGATTTTATACAGTGGCTCACCACCTCCCCACCCTCCCTGAGGTGCCCCCACACCCGAACCAGGGGGCTTCAGCCTCGCCTTTTCCTAGGTTATTCAGAGAGAAATTACATGCCTTATTTTCCCAAGGGCTCAAGAGAAATATGTGTAATGTGATACCAAGGAAATAATTCAGATAATTCCAGAATTTACCCATGGATGCCCTTTGGTTTGTTTACCCTAGTCTCTTCTTACCATTTCTCTCCTTCTTTCTTCCACCCACTCCCTTGCCCACCTCTCCCCAAGAGTCCCATGCATTTCTCCCTTCACTGTGTTTTGTTCTGGCCCCTCCATAGCATAGGAAAGGCTGCTTCCTGCTCTAGATAAGAAGTGGTTTCCATGCAAAGTTTGCCTTGGCTTTCTCTGCTTGTTATGTCCTGATCCAGAGGCACAAGCTCAGTCAGAAGATTTGGAGGATTTGCCATTACAATAATCCTAGTGTTCTTTTGCATGCTCTCAGTGAGGAGAGTCCATTTCTGGATTGAAGGTACAAGCCAGCTCTTGAGTTTGTAGCTCAAGGCCTCTGTTGAACAGTGATAGAGGTGCGAGTCAGGGTTCACTCACATCACAGGGGATTTGGGCTCAGGCTTATTAGTTCGTCTGAAGAATGGCTTCCCAGTTTCCAAGACAGCATTCCAATATTTGCTGTATCAGTTCCACTGAGGTCTCTCCTAAGAAGCTGTGAAAATCTGTGAATTAGCCTGAGGTAGGTAATGGGAGGTGAAATGATCATTTATTATTCCCTACTGCTGGTAAAGATACACTCCATATCTGACAGAAAATTGTTGTATATGCTTCCTCCAGCCATGGTAATTGAGGCAGAATGGTGCTGGTATACAGAATATCTCTACAAAATAAACTTATATCCTTTCCAGATTACTTCATAAGAAGAGGCATTGGGTTTCTAATGTCCCTGTAATAATGTCAGAGCTGGGGCAGAAAGCAAAACTCAGGTTTGTTTGATGCCTTTGCACCCAGAAAATACATCCTTTTCCACAGCATGCAGCTTCTTAATCAGAAAGAAAGAGGGGTTCAAGGCAGGCTTCTTTCCTGCAAGGCAGGGCAGACATTTGTCTGTTTATCACAGTGCTTCCTCCCTCCCAGTCCATGGGGCCACATTTAAATGGATTGCCTGGCTCTATAAATCCCACCCAGGAACTGCTCTTGAGCATGGCCCTGCAGTTTTCTTCAGTCAAAACATGTTTACATGCTAATTCACTGAGATCACAGCAACTGCACCAGCCCATCTGCACCCTGCCTAGCCAAATTATAGCTCTGTGTTCTGCTGAGCTGAACATCTGACATGCTGCAAATAAAGGGGTGGCCAGCCAAGCAGCGGCCAGGCCTGCAGAATGTCTGGGAGAGGCGCTGGGGCTGTGTGGCAAGTAGCTCGCCCAGTCCCAAGCTGGGGATGTTGAGCCCTCCTGGGGCCATGAGCTGCTCCTCTCATCTCTGGAGCTGAAGGTGAGTGGGGACACTTACGAGGTTCCCAGAAAGTTTTTGGATTGGGCACAGCTTCTCTGCTGCACTACAAGCTGCCTAGATAACTCTGCAGCAGTCAGGTCCTAGACAGAGGTCTGGAAGAGATTTGCTCAGGTGGTTTTGGAACAGAGAGCATCCACAAATGTCTTGAACAGCCAGGAGGCTGCCACAAACAACTCTCTTTCTCATGCATCCCCACCACAGCAGCATGGTCTTCCTTTCCTCTGTCTCATGTCCACTGTGAGGACCACAAGCCATTTCAGACATTGTGCAGAACTGACCAAGAGTCTCTTACAAGAGGTATGATACTTCCACAGCATTGGCAATGATTCCAGCTTGCTTAAAATTTGAGGGGCTCCAGGAGGATGCTAAGGCCATTTTTCATTTAATTGTGATAGCCTCTACTGCCCAGGAGCTCCAAAACCCCAGGTGAGAATTGAAAACATTATTCCATCCATTTCAAAGATGTTTCAGTAAGAAATATTTTATTCTTACCCTTGGCTGTCTAAAAATAATGGACCAAAATATTTGGCTGCAAATTGCCTAGCACCTGTAGTCTTCAGAGACACTCAGAGCAGGTTAAGCTTCCTGGGGGACTGTTTTGGAAGAAAGTGATATATTTTACTGTTAAAGGAAAGTTCTAGGGACCTTGGATGAGCCAGCCTGTGTGGAAAGAGGGATAGGACAGGGAAATCACACAGTGTCTAAGCTGAGGTCCCTTGTACTACTCCAGCAGCTCCTAATGCTGGATGCACCCTCTGTGTTGAGAGTGTGACCACCCATAAGCCCAGCCAGTAGTGCAGAGAGGAGAAAGAGGATTGTGTAAGCATGTGGAGGCTCATTTCCTGGACCAGGCAGTGGAAGCCTCTTTGATGCCTCTGAGCCAAGCTGAGGACCGTGGTCAGTCACACTTCATTACAAGCTGAAGCACAGCATCACCAAGGAGTTTGCAACCAACTGGTCAACAAAGAGGAGAGGCCATAGAGGGAGGAAGTGTGTTCCATAAATGTGGGTAAGGAATATGTATTATGAGCGTGGTGGGAATAAAACTTGTACCAGGGAATAGTACGCTTCAAATTTCAGACCAGTTCCTGTGAGCCCTCTGAAAGCTTATTGCAGTTTTTAAGAAGTCACTGGTTCCAGCAATATCCCCAATGTCTAGGAGTGAGGAATGTTGCCAGACCCTCTTGAGCCATGCCTCCAGAAATTTAATGGAAATATTAAGTGCATTTAGAGTTCCTGTTTATTGTTAGAGGCATGATGTCTTAGCTTGTCTGTTGAGTTATTTTGTTGGTTTTTTTTTTCATACAATGCTCATAAATTCAAAAAAAGAAGGAAAAATGGGCAGAGATCTGCTTTTCATACAAAGCAGGGTTGTTCGAGTCACCTGGTCTTAGTTACACCTGGCTGCTGCATTGTCCCTCACCTATACAGAAGTCTTACATGTTGATGTATGGGCAGTCTGGGAAGGGAAGTGTGATACAGCATTCAGATGTCCTTGTTAGAATTAAGCAGAAGGCTTTTGTAATTTTTAATGTATTTTTCTATTAGAATGAAAAAATTTTACTTCATTTTGAGCCAGAATGACAAAACAACTTTTTTATTTACACATCACATTTCTTGGGGAGGGGAGCATTCAGCTATAAACTGGTGTGATTCAGCCACGGGGAAAATTGCCTTCCTACTGTCTCTCCTTTTTTTTATTGGAACAAATAGACACATAGTAAAAATGTGAGCCAGCTTTTTTTTTTTTTTTTCTCTCTCTTATACTATAAAATAGGGAGCAAAGACGGCTTCCCCTCATTTTCCTTTACTTCTTTATTCTGTCCTGTCTTTGCCAATTGGAAACAGAACCCAGAGTTACTTTGTCGCTGGAAACAGCTCTTGTACAGCTAAACTGTTTTCAATGCTTTCCAAATAGAAGAGCTCTTTGGAGCATACATGGCCTTCTGAAAGTTTATAGGGCAGGAGGACAAAATAAATTCATATTTTCTTCTGTCAAGCTTGTTTGGTGAGAGGAACAATTGGAGAGAAATACTCACAGGGAAATTTATGTTGGCAACTTCCCCATTCACCAATCAATAGAAATGGCATTATACACAAATATGAGTACAAAAACCTAAAACTGCCTGTCCTTTTCCTCTGTTTTCTTCTCCAGCACTACTGTCAGCCTTCCCCTTTCACAACCAACCTTCTAGAAGTGCTTTGTTGTCTGCATAGTGTGGGGAGATAGAAACAGAGGTGGTGGAAGCTGTAATATTCTTCTCACAGCAGTGTTCAATCCCAAAACAAACACATTTTCTCAGTTCAGGAGAAGAGATGCTTCATCAGTGACCCTGTAGAGATGCAGATACAGTTTCCCTAAATCAATAGCAAAAAGAAACAGAAGTGGCAAGCAGCTCTGGAGCGAGAGAGAATGAGAACAGGTTTCACAAGTACTTCAGCTGTGATGATAAAGCTCCTTGCTCAACATCAGAAGAAGTTCCTGATGCTGTGCCATATGTTGTTCTCCTTTTTCAGAATAAAGATTGAGTATTAAATGAGATATAGCAAGGAATCGCTGATTATAGTTGTTCCCTGGAAAAGATTAGGAGAACATTTGGTTTTCAGTTTGAAAATTAAATGAAAAAGTAACAAGCCTTGAAGGAACTTTTCAATGTGGTTTTCATCTGGCTTGGCAGGTTTCTCCTGGAGAACAGAAAGGTAAAAGAAGATAGGAATTAGAAAAACATGCTGTGACCCGGATAGCAAAATGGGAAAACGTAGAAGCAAAATTGTATGTAGTGAAAGCAAAAAATCTTATTTAACCATGTTTGTCTCTATTGTTTCTTCTGCAGGGCCAAATATTTCCAGGGGAAGAAGGTGAATGGAGAATTTGATATCCGAGTGGAACAGGTCAGTGTCAAGTGAATTTCTCTCTAAGAAATATATATGGACACGGCTAGGGAGAGGTGATCTGTCCCAGGAACAGTAATGAGGTTCATAGCATGTTTTTTATGTGCTCCACTGGGCACTGGACACATTCTGTTTTCCTGTTAGTCTTGGTACCAGATATTCATTTCAGTTGAAGCCTCTTCATGTTGGGGTCTGTACCCTGCTCTGTGTGTTTATGAAGTGTCTGTCAAAAAAAGTCCCAAGTGGACTGAGACTGAATGCTGTTGCAAAAAAATAAATTATTATTAATAACAATCATCTGCAGGCACCCAGCTTGAAAGCAGGCATAAGAAGAGAGAGATGTAGAGATTAGAAGGTGATCGTGAAGGAATCATGTTTGTTTTATATTCATTAGGAGTATAAAAAATGCTTAGGTGGGTAAATAAAGCTGCTGAATGTTGTTTGAATGACCTGATATTTTCTGGTTCTATAAGGCTGCTCATTCTGCATCGTGTGTGTGTACGAATTAATAATGTAGTGGTTTTGAAGACTTTCTCAGGACCTATTGCCCTTGAAAAGGTGTTTCTTTTCTTTTCAAAGGGGTCCTGTCCTGTTGTGTATGACTGTTCATGAGCACACATGTTCTGATCAAACCGTGTCTGGGACAGATTTTTCTTTCTTATTGATATCACACTTGTCAGTCTGGGTAGCAAGAATAATTCTTCCTGGCATTTCCTTATCAAAGTCTTTATTTTGTTGTCTGCCTTAGCAATTATCCCAAAAGAGAATAGGAAAAAATTAAAAATTTACAAATCATGCTACTCACTTAGAAGTATGAAACCAAATAATTTAGGTTTTCCCTTCAAGCCTCTGGTTCAACCCTCTCCATCATGCAAAGCAGGTTCAGCTTCAAAGCTAGACTTGGTACTCTTCAAAATGGCCTGTTAATTATTTTCTAAACCTCCAGTCTCTGCCTTTCCCCTCATAATCCTTCTCCTCAGATGTTATTGCACTTGAAGTCCTTATAAAGGAACTGCCTTCAAATGTTTGGTGAGTGCAGAAGGTCAGGAATGGACTCCTGATCCCTGCTGGGGTATCAAGCTGTGACCCTCATCACCTTTACAAGGTAGCTCATCACATGTCCCCATGGACTCTTGTAGGGACGCTTTCCCAGTTTACCTCTTGAAATCCTCCACATAGGCTGAATACCCATATTCTAGATGAGACAACAAATTGCTCCAAGCAAAGACCATAATGCAATTTTGCTGGTGAGGGCCATGGCTAAGCCCCTGCAGCTTTCATTAAATGCCCATATAGTGACTGAAGCATTGCCCAAGGGAATGAAGCCCCCAGTGGGTAGGAGAGCTGAGGAATGGAAAACAAGGATCCTGGTTATTTCCACTTTTCCCCTCCTTGCCACTCAGATCAGGCAGCCCAGCCTTCATTTAGTGGACAGGGAGCTGCTCTTGACTCCTCTAGACCTCAGAAGGAGAAGGGATGATGACTTTTCCCAGCTGGATAAATGTCTCTCCAGGGAAACACAGAGGCTGCATTGTCAAGGGCAGTCCTTGAATCTGACCCCAGGGCCCTCATGCATATTGTTAAGGTCAAGAGAGAGGCACTGCTTCCTTCAGACTCTGGCTTTTTCTTCCCTTCTTATTTTTGTCCATCCATCCTTGCTCAGTATTTCTTGATAGTTAATTTTCACTCCTTGCTCCTACCCTATTTATTTGGAGCCTTCCTAATCTCACCTCTTCCTCAAGTAGTCCAGCAGCCTAAACTGTTGTGGGAACAGGTCCCCTGAAGCTCAGTGCTGACCCTCTCTACCTGAAAAATGAATATTCTTCCACAGTTTTCTTATGAAAGAAAAAAAAAAAAAAAAGAAAAAAGAGGAAAAAAAGAAAAGAAAATAACTGTGTTCGTCAACATGGTCCACATCTTTCTCTCTGAGTTCCCAGCTTACAGTCTTCACTCCTGTAACCCTTCCCCAGACAGCACAGATTGTGCCATGGTGCACAAGCCTTAACCTGGCTGTTCAGTTCTGAATAAACTTTCCATCAGAGAGTTTGATTATTAGGCACCTCTTGAACCATTTGGTCTGCTCAGTAAGTTCATTTAGTTTTTCATTTTTCCATTTGATCATGTTTCAGATAACCACACATTATTAACTCAGCCAGAAATGCAGTTTGCCTTAGGAGCTTTTTTTAGATTTTATAGGAGAAAAACCACATTTGATCTGAAAAGCTAAATAACAAAGACATTTGAATGGCAGAAAGCAATGAAAGGAAATATCCAAATGTTAAGTACTCTTGGAAAACCACATTGGGCAAAAGCCACTGCCTTATTTTTACTGACCATGCTAACTCTGCCATTTTTCCAGGATGTTCAGTAGTTTGTTGAACTTTTTCTTCTCCTCTTTCATATCCATCTCTCTTACATTGTAATTCTTTCTAAGCAAGCCACTTTAGCAATCTGTGGGGGAAGCAGAACAGGATAGTAGGTGATATTTTTTGAAAGCCGTGACATCAGTTGTTTGTAATGGAGCAGGAGTGCTGCAAGCAGCAGCGTCTCTCCCTCTCTCAGCAGCGGGAAGTCAGTTATCTAATCTGGTTGTGCACCACTACAGCTCTGCAGGCTGCCTCTCCCCTCCTCTGAGGAATGCAGGACATATGTGATCATGCCGTCCTGCTCTGTCTGTCCCCACACCCAGCTCTGTGGAACGCATTGGCTCCATTCAGCTGAATTAGAGAAACAGGCAGATGTTTGAAGACACTGAGTTTCTGCAAGAGGTGAATCCAGTTCATGTTAGACACTGGGTAGTACTCAGGGAAGAGGCTGTTAAATGTCATCCTGCTGCTCAGGGAGCTGCCTCTGCAAGTCTCAGCTTGTATGAAAATAGGTTTCATGGACTCTCAAATAAGGTTTTCTGGTTCTTTGGCACTGAGTGAATTGCATACCTTGATAGCAACCCCAGGCCCTAGTTTGTCACATCCATTATCCCCAGGAAGAGACAGGGGTTCCTGTGGGCATCACCTGGTGCCAGAGCAAGAGGAGAGAGCTGGCAGGGACATTGTGGTGTGTACACCACCCTCCTGTCATTCATTAAAATTAACGTGAAGTCTGACTTTGTTTCCACCTTTGTTTCTTCTCTTCTGATCTTCAGTGTAACACTGAAACAATATTTATAATATGCTTTAAAGGCTGAAGGATTTATTATTGTCCACCATTTAATGAAACTGGGCAAGCAGTGCCATTATCTTCTTCCTGCTGGCTGCAGGGAGGGAGGTGAAAGGCTTTGGTGGTGCAAAGCCAGTTCAAGCACTCTCTTGAGTCATAGCCCCTTTTTCTTTGGAGGCAGTTTGGATTACATTTTGCTTGTTTGGGTGTTTTTCCACTTCAGTAGCAATGATAGTCGTTCATGAGACTGATTGAAACACTGATCCAAAAGTGAAAATCTATTTGACCTAATCTGATTAAAACCCTGATGGTTTAAGTTTTACTCAGTGTGAGTAAAGCTCTAAGCTTTAAAACAGCTGAGTCTAAAAATACTATCTCTATTTTGTACTAAAAATAAGCTGCTTAGATTTTGATCCACATTGTCGCTTTTACTTGTCTGGTGATTTCTAGCTTTCAGAACTGCAGTGTATGCATCTCCAGTTCTTTTCTCTAGAAATACAAATACTAAAAAAGTTCTTTTAGAAATGAAAAGCATAAGTTTGAATAAATGGCTCCAAAAGTTTAATTTAAAGAAGAATCTTGAAGTGCCACGAGAGTGGACCACATTGCTTTTAGTCTCTCACAGAAAAATACCTTGCTTTTATCTCCTCAGTTCTTCATTGGCCAGAGGACAGGAGGCATTAGGAACCACAGTATACTGAGGAAGAGGAGGAATTATGCCATAGGTCTTATGCTCTGTCAGATGTTTTCCTTAATTAGAGAGAAACTAATTCAGCACCTCCTTCCCACCCTCTCTGCACTGTCCCAGAGAAAACTAAACCTTGCGTGCTCTAAGGATTTCTGGGATTTTTCATCTGGATCATAACATGCCTTGTGTGGGATCTTCTTGGGCATGAAACATGCCCCATGCCCCAGGGGAATTTCTCATGGCCACGTATCCCCAGCACATCCATGGACAAGTGGAGGAGGGCAAGAGATGAGGCTGAGACCTGGACAGCCACAGAGCCATCAGACAGACCATGACCCTGAGGGTGGGGGCACATGAGGAGGACACTTGGCACCTGTCTGGAAGAGTGATTCTGCAAAGCAGGAGATGTGCAGAGCAGGGTCACTGGGATGGCCATGGAGATGTGGCTTCTGAGAGGAGACTGGAAGAGTTGAGTTTGTTTCTCCTGCCGTAACAGAGGATAAAGGAGACATGAGTGCTTTCAGTAAATACCTTGGTGCAAGTGAAGGTTTCAGGACATGGTGCCAAGGGTAGCAAGGGGTTAAACCCTATGGCTCTGATGGTCTTTTCCACTCCTGTGCCCTGCATGGACCAATAAGGGACACAGAAGGCAAGAGCAAGCAGCACCTCTTAGAGAGAATCCACCACCTTCAGGATACCTTTCCTGCAGGTATTTCCCAAAGGAGTTTTAATATGTTCAGAGATCTCTCTCCTGGCATTGGCTAATTGATGGTCGAGTGGGGTGAAAAGTGTGAAAGGGGAGTCATGAAGCCCAAAGGTCCATCTACATTTTTATGCCTGATGTTTGTTCACCCTTCTCCTTCCCACTATTTCCTGCTGTGATGAGGTGGGTCCATCTGTCTGTCTGACACGCATTTTTCTTGCACAGCTCATTCACTTGTTCCCACTGTTCAGTTTATTTTCAGGGAATGATTATTCAGTGAACTCCTATGTACATGCTTCTGGAAAAGTCTTGTGGTATAGATTATGACTCCATTGGCAGCACTGTCAGGAAAAATTTGTACTTGGCAGTCATAGAAGATAATTGTACTACAAATCATGAATTCCAGCTCCATTGTACTTCCCCCCCTAAAGACGTATTTTCATGTGTGGTGCAAAATGGTCCTTTCAAAAGGTAGAGTCTGACAGGTCTGTGTGTGTGATGAAAGGAAAACTAGCCTCTTGTCAAACAAGGGTATAATTTTTATTCATTATATGTTTAGGGTTTGGGTTTTTTTCCAGCTGAATGCCAGAAAGCAGTTCAAGAACAGCAACGGAGTTCTCATAGCTTACCACATGCAAGCATTCAGAAACCATGAATAAAAGGAGAAGTAGCAAGAATTACTCTAAAATCATTATTTTCTTAAATGAATACTATCTTCTTTTTTTTTTCTTTTTTTTTTTTTTCTATTTTCATGGACTTTTGGAAGTTTACAGAGTTCATGGTTTTGAGCCGTTTCCTGGGATCAAAATATTTAGAAATCTGCTTTTTCTAAACCTCAAGTTTTCAAGTAGTCACGTAACTTCTGAAATGAAAACTCAAGAGACAATTCTGAATGCCATCAGAGCCAATGAACCAAAAGGTGTTCACACAGGTGAAGGCATGTGGATCTTCAGCACCAGCATTGTCTCTAGCCTAGGAGAATGCATCCCAGCTGCAGGACTTGTGAAGAGCACTTGTGGAAGATGCTCTTGGAGCCACAAAGCAATATTCACATGACAGATGGATTCTCTCCATTCTTTCCTCCCAGAGAGCAATCCTGGTATTGGGGATAGGGTGCCTGCCCAAGGAAAAATGTGTCAGGAAAAGACATAGGGAATCAGGATGTGTAATCTCTAATTCTGCATGCCTGCATAGCCTCAGCCCTCATCCCATAGGCATCCAAACTATCTGCCCACCTTTCTGCCTGTGCATGATTTAGGGATTGCTTACTTTCCCCTTGAGATCCTTGTAATGGTTGTAGTGAAATGTGCTGCTTTAGGAATGCAGCCTGATGTGGGCCTTTCCTTGTACATATTGGAAGATCTACCAACAAATAAGGCATAAAATCCACAGAGGAATGTATGAGATTTGATTATACAGTAGCAATTCCTCACCCCAAGTGCCTAAGCCATGACACGGACCAGGCTAGTCGGTCGCCCCGACAAAGCAGTTCAAAGATTACAGTGGATCTCAGCCAGAATATGAGTTAAAAAATAGTCACACTGCTGCATGTATGACAAATCCATACTCACGCATATGGTTGGCAATTTTACATATGGAGGAAGTTGTGGACCTGCCAGAGAGATTCCCTGTGACAGCAACAACTCTGATCAATTCACTGTAAAACATCACCTACTAGAAAATATTACAAGAATGGGATGAATTTTGTCTTAAAAAAAAAAAAAAGAAAAAATAAAAAAAGGAAGGACAAGTCTTTGAGGAATAAGTCTTCAGGTTCTGCAGAAAGAAGTAATGGACACAAAAAATTGCTGCCTTAAAATGTAAGGGGAGAGATTTAGATAGGGCTTTAGGAAATTTTTCTATTGTTGTTAAGGTACAGACTGCCTGAGGAGGTTCCTCATCTATGGAAGACAGAAGAAGGTTATGTAGCATCTGCACACAATGGCAGAGGCAGAGCTGGTCATGCCTTAGGAAAGAGAGAAAGACTGTGTGATGTCTTGAAGTCCTTCCAACACAGCTTTCTGTTATTCTACAAAAAATGCTTAAAATACACCTTGAACACAAGCTTCCCTTAAATCACTGACAGGCATAGCTGCCAAGCCAGGCATTTCTACTATTGCATGATTGAAAATGACAGTATCTTCCTGTTTTAATATCAGGAAACAGAAATGGATGCTCTAAAATAGCTCACCAAAAAGATCTCCAGCACACAGAGGACCCTGATGGAAACTGAGAGTGCCTTAAGGTTTAGTCCAAATGATTTGGAGAGTCTTCCAATTCTTAATACCTGAAGGAGGCATTTTTGACAAAACTGTGATCAAAGTAGCTGTGGGCATCATCTCACATCTGAGCCTCAGAGGGGTATGAAATATTTCTACTCCCACAGTCTTTTTACATTATTCTTCAGGACAGTTTGTGTCACGTTTGTCACACGTGGTTTGCTCTTGCTCTGAATGCTTTTGCAGCCACTGGCACTGCTGCAAAGTATAAAACACCATCAGGCTAATGCAATGCCTTCTTCTGTTCCATGATTCCTAATGCAAATGACTCTGCAAGGCCACGGGGATCTGAGCTCTCCTGTTTTATGCACAGTTACCTGTCACTCTATCTGCATGGGCTGCTTTCAAAGACCTCTTTGTCTGCAAGGTAAACTCAGGCTGGAGATGATCTCAGAGCTGAAATCCCAGCCAAGGGAAGTCATTGGGCTACAAAACCCACAAAGTTAAAAATACAGGGAGCACTGGAAAATCAACAGGAAACAATTTCTGCTGACTGAAGGTTTTAGCCTTCTTCCAAAAGCCAGCTAACAGCAGCCTGTTGGGTGGAACAAAGCAGCTACATGAAAGCAGCAGCATTCTTTTACTTTGTTAAAGCAGAAGTGAATGCCAGGCAAAGGTCAAGATTGTCCCTCAGCTCTGATTGTAGATCTGGACATTTTGGGAGTGAGATAGCTGAATCCCCCAGACCCTCTCTACACTTCTCTCTCCTTGCCAGTGTTCCCTGGACAATGGATGCCAAAGGGGATTTCTCCTTTTCTTCTGGCTCTTGACATTAGCAGGGCCTGAAATTGGTCCTGGCAGTTTGGCATGAAGTGCTCACCAGCTCAGGGGGTTCTCAGGGCTGTTTGCAGGTCAGGTGTCTGAGCACAGCTTTGTTTGGCCTGGCTGCCTCAGGGAAACGCCTGTCAGACCAACTTAGTCAGAATCCCAGTGCCCCTCATCGAATGAAGATTGCCCATTTTCCCCCCCAGCAAAAAGGAGTGTTAAGCTCTTTACTACAAACTATCACAGAAAAAAAATTTGGAAGAAAAGCATAAAGAACATGAAAATACAGGCCTAAAACTTCCCTTTCTTGTACTAGTGTTCATATCAGCTGATGCATTCCTCAGCAACAGAAGCTGGAGGTCCAGCTGGACAGCACTGTGCTTTCAGAGTGGGACATCTCTGAGGCATATGGAGACACAGAGGTGGAACAAACATCCTTTCATCTCCCCAGTCCACAGAGCCTCTGGAGCTAATGTGTAAACTAGCAAGCTTGCCATGACCCATTGGGGAGATCACCGATGGTGCCCAAAGCATCTGATCTTACTGAGTTTGTCCAGGGTGAACTCCTCTCTCCCTAGGTGTCCTGAGATTTTTCAAATGTATAAAAGGCAGTTGCCTTTCAGGGGTACATATTTTCTTACCTCTGATCTGTTAGGGTCACTGAAGAAGCGTGGCTGTGGCCAAGGCAACACAGTGCAATATCTCATGAGTAAAATCCAGGCAGTCACCTGAGCCACTGCCAATCCCTCCCTGTGAGCATGTCTGTGTGTGTGTTTGTGTTTGAAGCAGAATTTATTTCTTGGCAATAGGAATTTTCCCCCCTTTTCATTGTAATTGGGAGTTACAGTGATGTAAGATCGTGTAAGGGTGTTGCTTTAAAAAGTTTACGCAGAGCTGCAGACATGAAATCTCATTACATCATTGGGTCACCAGTCCACAGCCATTGCTTTAAAATTATGTGGATTTTAAAAGGAAAGTTGGAAATTATTTTTTCATTTGTCGTCTGGCCTTTGAGCCTTTACAGGTGCACAAGTTCTCCATTGGCAAGTTTTTTCCATGAGTTCATGAGGACAAAACACGCTTTTTTTTTTTTTTTTTTTTTGCTTGCTTGCTTTTTTTCCATTTTTTTAATGTATAAAAGTTGTTCCTGGCACTATCTTTTGGTTCTAACTAATAGAAGTAGCAGAAGAACATTAAACAGTACAAGGATCTCAATAAAGTCCTAAGTATTATCAGCATCATCTGAGTTCTGATATTACACAGCTACTGGTTAGAAGATGATTTTACTGCTGCCCAGTCTTCATCATACTAAGTATGAAAAAATGCCTTAAAAGGAAGGGGAAAAAAACTACTCAAAAGGAGAAGACTAAATTTTCTGCCTCAAAAAATGAAACCTGTTAATTTATATTTATCATAATCACCCCATGTCTTTTGCTCCGCACTGCTGAAATACCCCTTGGCAGTCTTTCCAGCCTTGCAAGTCATGCCTCTTATAAAATACAAAGTGTTTTAATCATTGAGCAGCTCTGTTAATAACTTACCCACCTTTGCAAACTCTTTAATAATAAAAATCTTAGTAATTTTCATCAAATCACATCAGGTGACCTCTGCTTATCACCTTCCTGCAACATAATGAGGTTTAAAAAGGTTTAAATCTTTTGTGTTAGGTTTATAGCTAGCCAGTGGCACAACAGCCAATTCAGACATAATTCTAAATTGATGTCTCCAAGTGGAAACTTGGAATTTGAATTCAAATGACCTTACATCTTTTTAATAATGATAATGATAATAATTATAATAATAATTATTATTATATAGTCTGTGTGCATTTTTCAGGCTGCTCATTCTTTATTCCTTCAGTACTTATTACTGCAGTAAGCCTAATCCTGTGTACTTTTACACCTCAAGTGTGGGAGCCATAAATACTTCTGCAGTCTCTCAGGGCAAACCAGCTATAATTGGATCTCCAGTTGCCTCACAGAAAAAAAAATTTAAAAAAAAAAAAGGAAAGGCGCATTCCAGACAAAGAAAATTCTGCGTCTGTGTCTGTGTGTTTGTGTCTCTGCCACCCTTGAGTAACATTTTGTCCTTTTTCTCCACTCCAGGCTGAGTTCTCTGAGTTGAACCTGGCTGCTTATGTCATGGGTGGCTGCATGGTGGACATGCAGGTCATGAGGAACGGCACCAAGGTGGTCAGGTGAGGAGCACCAGCTGGTCTTGGAAGCTGGACTTTGTGGATCAATGTTGGGGCAAGCAGGTTGGCCTCATGGGGTGACAAATGTCTGAATCAGGGCAGCACAGTGCTCGTAGCTTCAAGGATTTTTGGAAGTGGTGAAAAGATTGGCCTGACTCTGGTGGGTTTGTATCAGGTCTCAGGTGCACATTATGCCATACAGTCATTGTTTCCGGTCTAGACCCTTTGTGCAGCAGCAAATACCTCTTTCTCAGGTTCTTTTTAGCCTCCAGACTCCCAATAAAAGGGACAACAGATCTCCCTTGATTTTTTTCTCCTTCTCTGTAAACTAACCCTCATTTTAAATAGAGGCTCCAGTTCATTAGCCTATCTGTCTTGGGCCCTGATCCCAGTGAACTGCCTTTGCAATAGCCACTAAGCCCAGATGAGAAGCTTGGCATAAGCCAGCAGTATGCTCTCACAGCCCTGAAAGCCAACCACACCCTGGGTTGCCTCCGAACAAGCGTGGCCAGCAGGGCAAGGAAGGGAATTCTGCCCATTTGCTCTGTTCTGGTGACCCCCCCACCTGGAGCACTGCATCCAGCTCTGGGGCACCCAATGTAAGAAGGACGTGGAGCTGTTAGAGCAAGTCCAAAGGAGGGTCTTGATAACCATCCAGAGGTTGAAAGTTGGGGCTGTTCAGCCTAGAGATGAGAAGGAGAGACTTTATGGGACCTTCAAGGACGTAAAGGGTATTACAGTGGAGTTCTGCAAAGGTGTGTAGTGATAGGACAAGAGGGGACAATTTAAACTGAATGGGGCTGATTAAACTGAATGGGAGTGGATTTAGGCTATATACCAGGAAATTATCCTTTACTGTGGGGGTGGTGAGGCACAGGCACAGGCTGCCCAGAGAAGGTGTGGATGCCCATGCCTGGCAGCGCTCCGTGTTGGATGGTGCTTTGAGCATCCTGGTCTAGTGGAAGGTGTTCCTCCTCATGGCAAGGGGGTTGGAACTAGATGACCTTTGCATCCCTTCCAATGCAAACTATTCTGTAATTGTACAATCCTGATGCTTGTAGCCTGATTTGTTCCTGAAATGCCACTTTTCTCTTTGTGGGAGGTTCCCAGTGCTCTGGCCTTGCCCTGTGGTATATCTCAGAAATAATACCTATCTCTGTCATGGGGATTTCTGTCCTACTAGCATTACTTCATAATTGCAGTCATTGCAAGCAGACTCTTTTCCCAAGCAATGCTTCTCAAATCGCACATCCAATTCCCTTCCCAAAAGCATTGCTCCCCTTCTTTCAAGCACAAGAGTGACACCAATTTGGAGCTGATGTTAGATGCATCTTTACAAGTTCTATGTAAATAATAGTGTACATTGTCACATCTGTGTATGATGCCTCTATTTATCTTCACCAATATTGCCTTCTTTCCTATTATTCCCAATCCTTCATCTTTATGGTTTCATTACAACTCTACATTACATCTTTGATACAATGTTTTTTTCTATGTTTGTCTTGAAATCTCATTGCTGTTCCAAATTAATTTTTCTAGCAATCCTCCTTCTTTTTGTACAGGTCCTTTGCACTTTTTGGTGTATTCAGCATCTTTGAGTTTAATACTGTTGAGACATTTAATCAATGCTTTTGTCTGCTTGCAACTAGTTCAAAGTTAGAGGTAGAGACACATAATATAGCATGCAGTGATATTTTTGAAAGGGATTATTAGAACAGCTGAAAAACTGTAACTTTGGGCATGCTGGTCTCTGTTTATTTTCTCAAAATCTCATTTCCAGTCCAAACAGTGCAAAGCAAAACATGTCACTGACAATTAGCTATAACTGTGGTCCATCAATTAATTTCAGGTCTTGACGTCTCTCTTAGTACATCCTCAAGTCTCCATTTGCTCTTTGGTAAAATTTCATGAGACTCTGCTAAAAATTTTTAAAGCTGTGTCTGTTACATGCATTTGCTTTCTCGTGTCCCACAAATGTCTGTTTCTGAGTGAAACAAAGCATTATGTCCCATGAAGTAGCCGCTGGAGCACTCATCAGACAGTGTGCAGCACTAATGCACTCCTGTGTTCGCTTGCTCATGGTGCTGGAAGGTTTCCCAAGAACCATTTCCTAGGTTGATCACATCTTCATTTTCCTTCCTGTGTCTTTCCTCCCAAAGCCACTCATACATCTGGCAGAAAGATCTTGAGCTATTAAACTGAAACTGAAGACAAAATTTATTTTACAAAACTGTCTGGGGCATGGTGTTCATGTTTCTGCTCACAGTCAACACAAAGGTATTCCAGCTACCATTTTTGCATGGATATTTATATGTGAATTACATGGGTTTTTGAATGGCATTAGCTCAGAGTTTTTTGTTTGTTTGTTTGTTTTCATCCCTGCATGTTTAAGGACATATTTGCATTGTGAGAAGAAGATTTGGTAAATATATACTTGTCTGGATATGCAATTTTTATATAGCATATGCTACATGCCATAATCCTTGCAAAGAGCAAATAATTTTACAGCCTGTGCTGATGTGCCCCTGCTGTGCCCAGCTCAGTGAGTTTAAGAGCTCAGGTCAGCCAACATCCACAGCCACTCCAATGCTCTAGAAGGTATAGAAATTAAAACTCTTTTTCACTTTAGAAAGGAAATTGTGGAACTGAGCTGTGTAAAGGCACCTCAACCCATCCACACGGGTACAGCTGCTTCCCACTCACTTCAAGTCCCAGCATCCCATCCACAGCTATGTCCTACCTGGCCACAGACACCTTTCAGAGTGCTCAGCCACAGGGAGACACCTTCAAATCACATGTGTGCACCAACCCTGCTCCTGCTGTCATCTTCTTTCCATCACTTATTTGGCCTCTGTTAATTATTGAGCAAAATATTCAGTCAAAAGTTAGAATGCTTCTAGATGGTGAAATATAATACTCATCATATTTTTGAATACCCAGAGTCATGTAAATCCCACTGACAACTTATAAGGAGATAAATACAACACCATCTTGCTAATAAGCACATTTGGGATTCCCCCTGCAGGAGCCCTGCCTGCTTCACATTCTTCTTCAAAGGGAGAGCAATAGAATGTAGCAGTTTAGTGAAAAGACAGTGAATATACTACGGACCAGTAGATTTAATCCACTTAAATAATAAATTTCTTAACAGCAACAATTAATATTCAGATTCATATTAAACAACCACTGGGCTGCCCTCTTTACTGATAAGCTATCTAACAATTTACTAGCCTATTAAATTCTGCCATTTTGGAGCAGGCCTCCTAGTTCTTTCTTTAAACTGGAAATACCATATGGAACCTGTAAAGCAAAGTTTAAACCAAAGGGTGTTTTCTGCTGATCACTTGATTTTTTTGACACCTTGGAGTTAAGGCAATCTTTCACACCCCATGTCAACTTATTTGAACTGTACCAGGAAAAAATTGTGGTTCTTTTACCACTAAATCCCTTAGTAAGAAGGTATAGCAATCCTTAAAACCTTCCATTTGCCACTCTTGCCTCAGGAAAATTAAAAAAAAAAAAAAGAGAAAACAAGACACTTTAGAATTTCTATTGGCAATTATAGAAAGCAAAGATATGGACATATACATGACTCCTAGCCTGTGCATCTTGAAATTAGTAGCTACAAGTAAGTTAGCAAACAATTTAATTGAAACCAGACATTACTTAGGTTGCCTGAGTTTTAAAACAAGTGTGGTTCCAAGAATTTTAATTTTATAGTAACAATGTTCTTGGTCTCCAGCTTCTCTTTTTTAGTTACTACATTCTGCACATCTATAGGAGAGGGTGGAGGATTTGAGATAATGTCAGCAAAATGTGCTACTGGAGACAGAGGCAATCATCTAACAAATCTAAAGAACTGCATCTGTGTTTTCTGTGCCAGATCCACCATGGTCTGTGAAGGCTCCACCAGCCCATTCCGCACATTTCCTTCAGACAGAGAGCTGGCCATGAAGTATCTTGTGCAGCCTCTAGCAAACGCTTTTCTGTGTCAGTGCCCTGTAACCCTTGCCCTGGCTGAGGACACTGGTGGGATGAGCTGAGCACCAGAAGCAGTGTTGGGTTCAGCCAGGACTGGTGGGGTGGGGAATCTCCCACACATTGGTCCTTGTTACCCCAGTACTTATTTGGAAAAAAATGGCAGCAGACCTTCCCTATTGAAAAGTAACTGGGAATCAGGAGGTAGTGTTTATTCATCTCAAAGGATCCCTCACCAACTTATACACAGCAACTCCTGCTCCCAGTGCATACACAACCTCCTTTTGGACAGGATGACCCACAAAAACAGAAGGAGACAGAGTGAACTGTCTGGAATCTAATTTATTCTAGAAAGCTCTTGGACTGTGTCACTTTAGATGGGATTAGATGTGAGGACTGGGATTTTTATTTTCACATTCCTCTGAAAGGCCTTTCATATCAATATTTTGGCAGTGTAAAGAGGCTGTCAGTGTTGTCACTGCACCTACTCTGAGATGTATTTATGCTTTCAGGATATTATAAAAGTGTCTAAGTAGAAATGAAAATTTGGGCTGTGTCTGTTTCTGACAGCAACATTTAGACTCCCAAACTATGATCTCAGGTTCTGTATTCAATTAAATGGTTGACTGTTGGGCTTCAACAGACTTCAACTATTAATTCCAGTAGATATAAGGCAGGGATATGTTGAAAATCTGGACAGCTCTTTTACCTGGGGAATACTAATGTCTTTGGGAGCATTTCAGACCTTTAGGATATAAATTAATCATGCACCAGACTGCTCTCATCTCCTGTCTCCCTGTAGAACTTCCTCTTTTGCCATTGGGGTCAACCATCCAGGAGAGAAAGCACATGTTTGCATGGGAGCTATCAGAGCGGTGGCCATACCACTTAGAGTGTGGCATGCAGGCTCTGTGCAACCCCACAGCACAGACAGCAGCTGGTGGACCAGGAGATGCCCAGGGTCTGACGTGGAGAGGGCCCTGACAGGAGAAATGGCCCTGGCAAGTGTAGAGGGGTGTCCAAAA